ATGACACGGGTGACATCTCACGTGATCAGCGTACAAAACGGTACTAAAACTCGGTGAGAATCACCCCTAGGCATTCAAAACATACTAGCAAATAGTTCTACGGGCCCATATCTACCTATAAATGTCCCCCAAGAGCTCATCATACGCACTTCAGTCTCCCACGCGAGAATTCGCTCATACGCGATTCACGATTTTCGAGTTCAGCATAATTATCTTCATCTTTTCTTCTGCTGCTGGCTGTCTTTAAATCCCGATGTATGCGCCTTACCTAGTAGTACAAGGTTAAAGCACTGATTTTCGGCAAGGAAGGTCAGAAATTTTCGAACAGTTTTCTCTGAAAAACGCTCGTGCAAAGCTAGAGCGCGAAAAAGCCAATATGCAAATACACACGGGCGGGATGACGCTTGATCGATCTTGCGTGCCTCTGCCTTACTCGGAGGCACAGAAGATGCAACGCAGGCGTGTATCGCCTCTCGTTATGCTATCTAGTAGTGTAGTAGCCCGCGGACAGACTCGCGCGAGCTGGCAAGAGACACGAGTAACTGCTAAAACTAAACCCAGCCCATCAATCAGTGGTACGGCAGCATGCGTTTACTGACCGCAGTGCGCGTCACAGTGCGCGCGGTTTGCACTTCAGTGCTTTCATTTCTCCTTTTTCGTGCTTCAAGCCATCCCTAGCTATCCCCTTTCATTGAGAGAAATGATTTTACATATTGTATAATGATATTGACCACAACTTGTTAGTGTTGTGGACAGCTTCGAGTGGGGAGAGTGAAGTGGGAGAAGGGAATGACTGCTCAGCTCGAGTATGCCCAAAATATTTCACACATTGCAGTGAAGGCAATGGAAAAAGGAATAGGAGACAACGCGAATGAATAAGGGGGAAATCGGTGAATATAGGTATGCAAGGAGACAGACAGGGATGACCTTATATAGTACAATGGATAATGGCTCCATACATATTTAAACAACTGACATCCGGTTGCTCGTGTAATTTTTACTCGACACAAGCCCTATAATTGTCGTCACTCTTACTCGTGACATGAGTGTGTTTAGTGATGATGTAGTTTGGCTTGCAAAGGGATTCGGTAGAGGCTAAGAATGCAGCATTGTAAAACTGGTTATTTCAGCGAACATGGCCTATACAGTAACCAAGGAGGTGTCAGAGAGTACACCACCTGTCGATTACTTGTCTCATGTGCTTGTTACACAGAGGCAGCATAATATAGCTACTCATGCTTCGCGGCATTATTACAGGCTCAGGTGGAGAAAAATACCCTTGTTAAACTGAAAAACCATGATGCACCAACACAAACGCACCCACTTTACCATTAGTACTGGCAGAGATATTTCAATGAAAGGCTGGTTTTTGGGTGTTTTTCTTCGTAGCTGTCTCCCCTGTTTCGTTCGTGGTGTAAGATTGTTATAGTTGTTGTCATGCTTGTTGGGTTTGTAATTAACATGCCTATTTGCATAGTCCAAGTTGCTCAGCTATACTCTGAATACACAAACATATCTTGAATATCATGGCATTTTCTCTCAGATAAGACTTTTTAGTCACTATGGCATTCCTAAATCACAGAGAAACAGTAACTCTTCTACGATCTATTAATGATTACAGGTGAAGTTATGCTAATCAACTGATTGTATCATACACAGGCTCCTCTGTATGGGTAGGTGATGAATCAGTCTTTCTTGATGGTTTGTATTCACACCCAGAGCTACACCATAGGCTGGATTACCTCTGTGTACAATCTTGGCTTGGCTCTGCGATGTGATCTAAAAAGGATTTGTAAACTTCCGAAAGCATTAATGATGTTTTACCTTTTGAAAACAGTCAGGAAATGGCAATTCCAATAATATGATCCGATTAATGCTACACCACTTCCAATTCCAAGTAATGCAGCGGTCTTGATTAAAGTTAGACCTGCAAACAAAGATAGGTGATTCTAGAAATTTAAGAGAGGAAACAGTACAGTCATTCTTACTTGACACAGCACCTAATGTAGCCACAGTAAGAGAGGTAGCATTTCCAGGTCCCACTCTGGTGTAGGCTCTCACAGAGAAGATGAATTCAGTGGCCTCCTCAAGGTTGCTCTCTGTGGTGAAATTAGTGGCCAGAGCAGAGGAGTTCACTCTAGTCTCAGGCTCTGAGGAAGCTGTTTGTCTGTAGGAAACCTCATATGCTATGATTATTCCATTAGACGTCAGTGGTGGCTCCCATGTCAGGGTTACTTGAGACGAAGAGGGAGATGCCGTGACTGCACCTACTGGACCTGGAACTAAACAACATCATAAAAATGGTACTGATAATAGTATGTTAGACATTAGCTACCATCTTCCAAAGTTTGATTTGTGGTGGGGTAACTATATGGTCCCACGTTTCCCATCTCATTCACTACAGCTACTGTAATGGAGTAGTTGGTGTATGGAGTGAGTCCAGTAAGCATTGCCTCGGTTGATGTTACAATCAATTCTTCAGTTTGGTTTATAACTTCAGCTAGGCACTGCAGTGTACTTCACTGAGAATTTAACAGACAGATGACTGACTGGACCGCAGGGTCTCAGGTGGTCCCATTGGACTGAGATGACTGTTGAACTAACTGCTTCAGCTGTGACATTCACTGACAGGTCTGATGTACCTAAATCAGAGAGGGAGGATAAAGATTATTTCCACACAATCTGTAATACTAGAACAACCCGCAATGAAAGTAAGCACAGAGTGGGGGTAGATAAAACCATTCATACTAACACGACGCGAATTGGCCCTTTGATTTTTCCATCAACTGAAATTCCATACCTAGTTTAAAAATAAATGTCTTTGATATTCCAGAGAGATGCTCTGAGGTAACTTCAACAGAAAATGTGTAGTTATAACATTCAGTGAGGTTTGTAATCAGAGCACGAGTAGAAGATGCATATACACTCTCCATCATGTCACTGTCGATCATGGAACTTTCAGGTTGTAGGTACTGTCAGTTGTGTCACTCTCGTTGTTTATACAACTATGTTACTGTTACATCAGTTTGGGGTGTATTTTTTTTTGTGTTTGTATTGTTTGGTATGGTTTGGTTTGTTTTTTGGGGTTGTTTTTTTCGTTTTTATTTTTATTTTTTTATTTTTTAGTTTGTGTTTTTTTTTTGTTTTTTTTTTTTTTTGTTTTTTTTTCTTGGTTATTTTTTGGTGTTTTGTTTTTTTGCCTCTTAGTGATGTTACTATCAGTCATGTTATTTTCAGTTATGTTACACTCGGTCATATTGCTCATATTGTCTCCGTCACTGTAGTGTACTACGTATCCAGTCACTGTGGCTCCTCCTGATGGCTGACTCCACTCCACTATCACTGACGTAGCTGATGTCTGTACTACTAACAGTATAGTTGGACTCCCAGCAACTATGACAAAATCAATTATTGTGTCACTTTGATACTTACAAAAAACAGACAAACCTTTCAGAGAGAAACTGTGTGAAGCATTAGACACTCCATTAGATGCCATACAACCATACACATCTCCATGAGTTCCATTTGTCTTGATAACCTCTGCTGAATAAGTATCATTACCTACCCACTCAACACCTCCCTTTCCAGTAATGTTCTTCATGTCCTCCACAACACCAGATGGTCCAGTGACAGACATTGTCAGTGGTCTACCTCCAGTAGATGTACAAATCACTCTGAACTTCCCATCGCCTCTCTCCAGACTTCCAATACTCCCTGTAACTGACAAAACTCCACAAAGAGATATGAACTTTCATTAACAACTGACACAAATTTTCATATGGTTCATTGATTTTGCATGACGAGATTAATTATTGTGTAGCTTGTTCTAACTTCCCCCAGTGTTCTGGATGGGTGGTCAATGGCCCTAGTACTATGGCTGCTATTTGAATATAGACTAGTATTACAACATTACAGAGGTGACATCACGAATTCCGTCTAGCGCATTTTAGTTATGGGACATGGGTCTTGATTAATGGACATTGTAGTTTAAGTTCTCTCCAGTTCCAACCAGGTATTTGGCTCTCTGCGGGACTGCACTGGACATTTTGTTTTACACCTCGTATCAACAACACACCCCTCTGTGTTCCAAGTACATGTATTTATTTTACCTCATGTATTTATTTTATACCTCTTAACAACACACCCCTCTGACCCTTCTTTGTGCCAAGTACAGATATTTTTTATCTTTAAATAGCAATCAGTGCTCAAAACATTTGGGATCTTAATGATAAAATAATTCATAACCACTGAATGGGGACATCTGTCAGCACCATTACTTTTTGTCCGGCCTGAAAGATGCATGATGAATATATATACAGCATAGTGACTATATAGTATCACACAACATTGCATCACGAATTGCATCTAGTGCATTGTGACTTTAAGTAATGGGACATGGGTTTTGACTATGGACATCGTAGTTCAAGCTCTCTCCATTTCCAACGAGGTATCTGCCCTCTCTGCAGGACTGCACATGACATTTTGTTTTATACCTCTTAACAATACACCACCCTGACCCTTTCTTTGCTGCCCCAGGTTCAGGCTATTTTTATGTATCAGAACTCAGCTATCAGTGTGTTTAAAACATTGCACGCATGGAATTTGGGTTAATCTGGGAGCTTAAAGCGGTACTGTGCAGTGAGCTATAATTTAGATGCCGTGCATTCTCTCTCATTGGTGCTCGTTTTGTTTCAGCGCCATCTTTTAAATAGTACCATATTTCTTGATTCGGTTGTATTCTGTATGCTGGATAGTGTTGTAGTTGCTGTGTATTGCGTGTGTAGCTGTGTATTGTGTGTATATGTTCTCATATAATTATAGTGAGGATGTAAATGATCTGTGTGTCCACTGTATATTGCATGTGACTAGGTGATTAAATCACTAATTATTATCTATTTTAGCTACATCCTTCTTTAGCAAATGCATTTGCAACATAGTAAATACCTAATCTCAATAACTTTAGTAAATCACTGCTGGCAATCATTTTCGTTGTGTGCAACTTACTTGGATAATGAATCCCCACAGAGACTGCCTCAGAATTGTCTACACTGCCTAGATCACCAGAACCTCCAGTACAGCAGGTGAAAACTCCCTCAATGGGAACCGTATCCATTTCTTTAAGTAGAGTAAGCTTGTTATATCCAAATTTACGCCCTATTTCACTCTTCCATCCAAAATAGCTGGATTTGTTTTCAGTAATCTTTGGAAGTTCAGTCAATTCTTTATGTCCTATAAACTGGTGATACCAACTGAAGGTTCCTCGAACTCCTCGAGTTGACCAACAGATGAGTGTATCTCCACTGCTCTGGCTAACATCAGTGATCAGAATATGTTCAGTTTGAACCTCATCATTAACATCATCAGACAAAGTCAGGAACAAGTCTGTGTAATAACCAGAAAAAGACATTACTCTTAACTGGCTGGTATACCAATTGGTTAATTAAAATGAAGCCAGTGTAGCACTGAAGTATATATTAAGAACGCAAACTACAAACAAAACAATCACATATTTTTGGGCTTTGGGATGCGAGACACAAAGATTTTGGATGGGGCATGAATAACTTCATCATCACTATTTGGAAATGTCAATATAGGATATAAAGTGGAATAAGGTCATCCCTGAAATGAGGACACATCTCTAACCTTTTCTTTGCTCATGAATAGTTCAATTGTAGGGGCTAAATTGCACTCAACAACTATTCTATTCTTGAGGGAAAAAGGGCTTAGAGATTGTGGTAGAGCGCGGCCGTAGCGGCAAAAAGGGCTCTCGGAGTAGGTAGCGAAAAAATATCTTGGGAGTTCTCACCCTATTCTGAGGAGCTGGCTCCTTTTATACAAAAAGAAACCATGGGAAAGATGGGTGGAGGAAACAGAAAATGTGGGAGATGGGAAGAGGAAAAGTGGGTCCAAGACAGCAGGTGAGGAATAGGTGGTGGCTGGTCTAGAGGAAGATGTGATTAACGTTAAGTGGGCATAACATATGTGGCCCTTTCAGTGAGGTACAATAAAGTGGGAGTAGGAAGCAGTGATGAAAAGCACCCTCGGCGAACTGGGCATGCGCGCTACCAGCTATTGATGGGCTGGGCCTGATTACTCGTGATCTCCGCTAGTAGCTCGCGGAGAGTGTGACACTTACAGTAGTAGATAGCATGCGGGAGTCGATCCACGCCTTTTCGTTGTGGCTGTCGTGTGCCTGCCAGAGGTACACAGAGCAAGCGGAGATCACGGTCGGGGTAAGCCAGTGCTATTAGCATATATAGCTTGTTCCGTAGGTTTTCACGCCATAACTTCTGACGCGGCACTTTTAGTTTTTACGAATTGAATGTAGCGCTGAACCGCTGAGAGATGTCAGCTATTTTACCGTCTCGCGCAGCACGGACAGACAGTACAGACGGACAGACAGACCAAGTACTGTAACCCTCGCTGCGCATGCGCGCCGCCGAGGGTTAACTACAAGGGGTGAGGAATTACAACACTCTAGTCTAACTAAGGGGTGAGGAATTACAACGCTCTAGTCTACACTCTAGTCTACCAATGGGGTGAGTAGTGGTGAAGGGCTGCGTCACTGCTGTTACTCTCCCACGCAGTCCTTTACAGAGATGTGTCTTCATTTCTAAGGACTCACTTTATTCTGTCCCAATGGTTTCCAGGTTAGTTCCACTGTAGAGCCTATGGGCTGCCTTTGGAGAGAGTTGCTTTAGCTTATCCAACTGTGTAATGACAACAATTATGATTTACTTTTCCATATGCTGTTTACAAAACTGGTTTGCCAGCAATGTTGACAAACCTACCCAGCTAGTCGAGCGTTTGTTGTTGACACAGGTTGTTGTGCCAATGTGAAGAATAACTATTCGTACTCGTTCCCAAAGTGCAAGTGGAAAAAAACCTGGTGAGATTGTCTCCAACTTTTGTTTGTGAATTCCAGGCCCTGTGTACTGGGAGTCCAGAACACTAAGTACTTCGCCTTCTACACTCTCTATAACAACCAGTGTTTGTTGCTAAAACAGATTGTTCTCGAATTGTCTCTGGCATTATTATGAGAGTGGGTGGGTCACATTGTGAGATTGTCTGTATAGCTACAGGCAACTACCAATGGGTGTCATCAGAGAGAGCAAAAATCAGCTTTTGTTGGGCAATGCTTTTGCTTAATGGACTCCCAGTAGCTACACATGGCCAGACCGTCACTCCTGACAAAATTACCCCACCACCTGTCTTCTGAACACGTACTCTTTTGTGAACTCAACTACTTCAGGTCCAAAGAATCAATAGTCATCTACCAGCCGTTCATCAACTTATTTTAAAACAATGGTTCTTAGCAGATTTGGTGTTTGTTCACAACTGAGCTACAGTACTGCAGTTTCTGTGGCTGGTAGTTTGAAAGCTTGATAGCAGTTGTCCCCTTCAGGCCACCACGGGGCCTTACACTATTTTGCTCACCTTCACTTGCCATCGCCACTCGCGATAATGTACTGAGTACACAGAGAATCCCCACAATATTCATCGGAAAGCAACAGTATTTAGTATCTCACTTTTGAAGGAAAACACTCACAAAGGCCAGGTAGCTAGGCACTGCCGAGGGCATTGCATACAGAGTGAAAAGGGTGCGGTCAGTAGGAATCGCTGCTAGGTTACTCAAGCACTACCCGCGTCGCCAAAGTAAACATTTTACAGGCAAATGCAACTGGTGAGCAAACAACACTGCGGGCTGGGGACAGCGCCACACACATTCGGCGGGCTTGCGCTCGTTACTCGAAGCGGCGTGTCCACTTTTTGCGAAAGAGGCGTGTCGCTGCGACTGAAGCTGAGCAAAAGCTATAATGTCGAGACCTTCATCAAAGGTTCAAAGGTTCAAAGGTTCAAAGGTTTTAATGCACTGCAAGCCAAACAAGAATAGGCATGGCATGTTGTACAAAAAAATAAAATTACTTGTAATGTCTAGCATACATGCAAAATATCAGAAGTAGCGGACGAAAGAGAGTTGATAATCTGGTCTGGGTCTGAGAGAGGCGTGTGTGAGAGAGTATATGCACCCC